AGAGAGAGAGAGAGAGAGAGTGAGAGAGAGAGAAAGAGAGAGAGAGAGGGTTGTCCGTTCGTGGCCTAAAGGAGGGCCGGCGGAAGTGTAAAAAAAGCCGGCTCCTGGTAATGACTGTAAAGTCAAATCAGTTATCAAGACTATGCTCAATCGCCGTGCGTTGGTTCGCGCCTGTTCTCTTTTTTTCGACCAAGAGAATCGATGCGCCGTCACCGCCGCCGTTGTTGACGCGTCTCATTGTGCAATTCCACACGCGGCCAGTGTCTAGCCTAGATCTCAGATTATTTCAAAGCGGTAGCATGAGGATTACGATGTTGCGTCGGACGTGAAGAGGATGGAAGGAGAGTAAGAATGGACGGAGCGATCGAAGCTCGGCGCGGAAAATAGCGTTACCAACGCGCGACGTGAAGCGATGGCCTACCGTGGAACGAGGGACTTCCTGTCCGGGAATTAGACGGTGAGAAGCTTCACTTCGAGGAGAAACGGATGCGAGGTTCGCGACTCGCGCGATACCGATTCGACAACGAAGCAGAACCGCCGGTCATCCTCTTCCAGCTCTCGATCGGAGGCTCGATCGTCGAACATCGCGGAAGTTTGTTCATCGCGACGAAGACTTAGTAAATTATTTATTATCGATATAACATTTTATTCGCGACGGGCGGCTGCTGCGCGACGGCCGGACGGGGCAAGTGTGGTTTCACGCGATGGTGATTGTGGAGAAAAAGAAAAAAGAAAAAAACGGACGAACGGGACACGAGTTGTATGAGCGAATTCGTTCGGTTGCGTGAGTGCGAGACCAGGCGTGCGTATGAGTAAATGCAAGCGCGCGTGTGCGGAACGAGTAGAACGAAAGACGCGCAAGAGGCGCGGCTAATTGCAGGGTCGAGAGGGGAAAAAGAAAGAAAAAAAAGACAAAGAAAGAGCGGGACCCGCGCGCGCGCTCGCGCGTGTTTGTGTATGCATGTGAGGAGTTGTGTAGGGGAATAATGTAGTGCCAAGAGTGAAAACGGGAACTCTGTACATATTAGGCTAGGTAGTTCAATATCAATATACTTATTACGACTAAAAAAAAAAAACGATATGCTACATACCGATTTAAAAGTAAAACATCAAACATACATTACAAACACGCATACCATTAAAAACACGAGATGGCCGGCCGTACGAAACTATAATGGGACGCGCACACACCTCCGACAAATGTATATTGTTCTGGCAAAAGTCAAAGTTGAATATGTTCTACCTCGAATGCTATATGTACTTGAAGCAATCAATAACGTTAAATCTTTTCCGGCATAGAGATTAGAAATAATTATAAGGAAAATTCATCGATCTCTTTATTTTAAAGATTATGTGTTCGTAATTATATGTTCAACTATAATCATAAGTAGCAAATCAATGTACTGATACTTTTAATTTTAAAAATTTAAAAAGAGCTAGAACAAATGGTCATTTGTTATCGTTATAATGTGTAGTTTTTATAAATATATAATATAAAGTAAAATTTCTGAAATTTTTTACAATTCAAATAGTTAGAATGAAAAGAATTAATGGTTTCTTCAATCACCATTGCATTGTATATGTCCTTTCTTTTTAGATTAGAATTATATACAAAAAGGACACATAAATGCGACTATTTGGCACGGTTGTATATCGATATTTCTAGTTGACTAACTTTTTCTTTAAGCAATTGCCTATCTCTTACTGAAGCCAGAGGCATACGATGCGATTTTTCTTGCTAGATTGCATGCAATCTAGTAAATTCCTAGAAATTCTGCGTTTTGGATAGCAATCTTGTAACTTTTATCTAGGGCGAAAACGTGAAAAATAAAATTTTTTATGTTTGACATTACATTGAAGGGAGTTTTCCGGTAAGGACGCAGTGAATCATTACATCTTTGTTGTTTGACAATATTAAACAAGGATGAAATGATTCATCCTGTGTTACACTGTGTGCTTACTGAAAAATGTCCGAAATTAACGGAGAAATTTTTCACTTTTCACGTTTCCGCTCTTAGTGAAAAAGTTACGTGATTAATACCATATGTGGTACAATTCTAGTAATTTATTAAATTGCATGCGATCTAGTACGAAGAATCACATCATGTGCCTCTGGCTTAAGTTATTCGTGTAAATATAATAGAAAAAGAAGGGAAATTTAGTTCATCAACGTATTGAGTTAAATCCAATCGACGTTAATGCAACCGTTAATTAACAATCAACCGTAGTGCATTCGTGCATCGAGGAAGAATCGAATAATCGTTATTTGTTCGATAAACATTTGTTTTGCAGACAGAGTACGTTTGTAATGGCGGCGTGCATACAAGAGTACATTTGCAATGCAAATCTATGAGAATGCGCATCCCTTTCGCGTTCCGAATGGCTCGCCCTGTGTCCGACATAACGCTATCTTTATTATTATTCAGATAGATAAGGCCTCAGTTTTGACAAAATAGGACGAGTTCTGCTTGAACGAGAATTCAAGTTTGATGACGCGTTTTTCAATGTAACAACACATTTCAGTATAATTTATTTTTAAAAATCGATGTAATAAATTTTGAATGTCTCCAACGACACATAAAATATCATCAATGGCTTCATTACATATAGTAGGATAGTTCAATAAATGATTATACTATCACGCGTTTTTTAGCAGGATTACTTTTAAAATATTTGTAGTATTACCACTCGTAAAATATAGGTGTTTAATAAAATTTTCAAGACCAAAATTTCGGTCTATAAAAATTCGGCTATGCGTATACTTGTATGAAAACGCCTTGTCATCTTTGAATCTCAATTTCGAGGCAGAGCGAATCACTCGATTATTTCATGAGAAGTCACCAATTATTATTGTATTTCTTAAGGGTCCGCGACGCAGGGAAAAATTGCAATGAAATTATCGATATGTTTCCCTTTGTGATTACGGATCGTGCGTGGCGTACGAGGAATGCGCGAGACAGGAAGGCAGGTGGCACGCGTAGAGTGGAATAATCTCTCGTGTGCATTTCGTTAATTTCGCGTTAATTTCGCGAGCTTCCGCTTCGTTTCCGAGAAAATAGCCAGATTGGCGCCCTTAGATATTCGTTTGGAATTCCGTTAAAGTGCACGAAATTCTCATACCACCGCCCGTGCGTATCCGCGACGCGATTTCGTCAAATCGTTCAACATAAAATTTAATATTCGACGTGCGTGAAAGTGTAATGTCTTGACGGCGAGGTCCTAATCATCGTTAACATTCTTCCTAACAAAGAAGAAAATTGTAAATTTTAATCTTCGTGAAAGTGTCCGGGCAATTACGCCTGCACGGCGACGTTGTTTCGTTTCATGTTCATTAAGTCGCTGTGTGGCGAGTCGAGGGAGAAAATATCGTCTTTCTGTTTCACCTTTGAGATGTGTTCACGCGCATGCAATATTAGGCGACGATGTTTAATTGTATTCTATGTAAAGAAATTAGCGCGTGTGCGGAGCGAAGCGATCAAGGAGGTATATTGGCAAAGATATTTCTTTTTGTTTCTTTTCGAATTCTCACTTCTTCATTGCCCTTTCGTTCGCTTCATCTTCCGCTAGTTACAATCTCATTGTCTCATACGCGCATTACTTTTCTCTGTATGCAATAGGAAGGATGAATTGTATGTTCATGCGTATTCGAGAGGCAGATAGATTATGATAGATGCAGAAAACGACGAGAATGCGGACGAGAGCGCAAAATAGAAGTGAATTCGAGGAAAAAAGATGTATAATTCGATGGGTCCTGTGCAAGTTTTGGTTAAATTTGCGATGTTGTCGACTTAGATTGAATTGTAAAACACGACGACGCGAGCGCGAGATATTTTAGACGATAAGTTCTAGGCGAAGTGAAATTTTTAGCAAGCTATTGTCGATTACTATTATCGCAATCAGACATCGTGATATATCTAGCAATTTGTTAATTGGGATTTAATGAGAGGTGCGAGATGTATGAGTATAATCGTGGCCTTTCGACACGAGAGAGATAGAGAGAAAAAGAGAGAGAGAGAGAGAGAGAAGAGAAGAGAGAGTAACGAAAGCGATCCCAGATAAAATATCCTTTTGCTCGTCCGAATTTACGGTTCAACCTTCGAGATTGCTATTTTAAGCGATTTGAAAGCCAAAATTAGATTTTTTTGCACAAACTGATTGCTCAACTCACAAAATCATCAATCAAACGTTTTAAACGCTCAAAAAAAAGAAGGGATATTTAATTAGTACAGTTTAAATCATTATGTTATCGAATTGAAAGCAAATTTCGCAAATGGCTTTTTTCAAATGCCGACTTTGAGTAAATAAGATTCCATTCTTAGCAATCTCATCGTAATGCGAGGCGCTGGCTTGATCGTTTCATCGTTTGCAATTGTCGCAGTCTGCAACGTCAGCAGACTACGTGGCGAATCGAAACCGTAATATTTCAAAGTCTTTCAAATTGCCATTGCAAAATATGAGCAAGGAAGCAATAAGAGAATGGAAATGTTAGAAGCGGAGATTAACGATCAATTAAAGTCATAAGACTAGCTATAAGAGAACAAATTCAAGAGAAGAAATATCTTTTACTTTCTCACAAGGGAGAAATTACGTATCGCGAATAACAGTTAATGTGTGATTGAATTGTTTCTTTTTTCCTAATTTCGAGAATTGAACTGTTTTTGTGAATATCTTTTTAATTGGCAAAAGTTTCTGCTTCGCATTTTCAATATATCATCTTGATTTTTTATCGACGGACTTTTGAAACGAAACGATCACTTGAACATGATGTGCTCTCATACAATCAGAAGATGCGAGATCAAGCCGGCGACTGCCGATTAATCTAGTCACGTTGAGCCGTGTGTTCGACCGGGGAATGATCGCCGATCCACCGATTCGGGTAACAGCCAATATCGTCGTCCTTTGTCGGCGAATTTAGCGGCGGAAAGGATAAGACTCTCTCTCTTAGGCGCAATGTGATTTCCCAAGGTGTTCCAA